AAGAATCACATGAAAGTCACGAAGGGGTTTTGTATTTTGTTTTCAAATTCGCAACAAAGTTTCCTAGTTGTTTTGTTTGCCAAACATTTTTCAAGATTTGTCGACAAAGTTTAAAATTTGGTACGCATATTTTATTTATCTCAGTTTTTTTTTTCATCTGGCATTGAAAGTTCGCGTATGCCACTTCATGCTTGACGTACTATAATTTTGACTCTGGGTGACAAAATTCGAACCTACGCAAATTATATTTTCATTTCCCTGAAATTTTCGATGAAAGTAATGTAGTAGAGGGGGTCCATAGCAATTCAAAAGACAAAAAGCACCACCAAACCAGTTCCACACCCTGACCAATGATGCATCGCCTATGTGGGTCAATTAAAAGCACAAAACTTCGCAGCCAAAACTATAAAAGAAAGTTGATGTGATGCCTCTACCCTTCGCTCATGGAACCACACCTCATCATAGATGTCGTGCCTTATAAAGGGAGTTGAGTAAGCTCTCAGTACTGTCTATTCAGGTAGAACTCAGGCACGACTTGTAAAAGCCCCCACATGTAAGTCAATTGCTCAGCAGGGATACGATGTTGCGCCCCCAACGCTTCCAAGGTTGGTGTCCCTCCCCAGACCGAGTGCAGTGGGTTGGTGGACTGGTAGGTTGTCACGTAGGGTAAAAAACGCACGTATGTTGGTGGCCTGGTCTTTGCCTCTCTCAATACCATCATCACGTAGATAGGATTATCCCTTCGGCCTCGAATAGTGACATGTTTTCAAAAACGAGGTCAACGACCTAGCTCAGTTCGTAAGGCACACATGTGGCATTCATGACATCTTGGGTTCCATTCCAATTGGCCTCCTGGACATGCTTGGTACGCGTCATCTAGAGGTAGACGGTTGGCCCCCCTGATCCGCAGGTAGGGCGAGGGGACTGGAGGGGAGGAGCAGCGAGTGGCACTTGGATGAAGCTCGGTCGTCATGCTACCAGTTGACCCCTGGCCGGTATCGCCCACCAACTGTAGCAGGTATATCGCACCTGTTGTAGCAGCTATCGCATTTGCTGGTGAGTGCAACTCCTGCATGTTCCCTCATTGGGGGCATTAGCACGAATGTGGCTGCTACAAGGTTCCCCTTAATACTATAACGATAATAAAAAAGGCTTGAAACACCGTCCTTTCTATATTTTCTTCTTCTTCTCAATTTCACCTTTCACTATCTACCTACCACTACTCCTAAGCCAATACAGGGGATCCTTGCGGCATAGCCACCTCTCACTTCTAAGGGGATCCTTTTAGCATAGCTACCTCTCACAACGAAGGGGATGCATGTTGCCCCTTGCTCTGACTCACGGTGGTCAGGGAGTAGGGTGGGGCCGCCAGTGGGGGGGGGGCTAAGACAAAGACCGAGCATTTTGCCGAAGCCGCGCCTCCCATCTACTTCCCCCACCTCCCATCGAGTAGCAGTAGTGGCTATGGCCAACACTCTCCCACACACCACACAGCCCACCCACCCTCGCACTCACATCCATATTGGTCATAGGCCTGGACCCCACTGCCCGACGGCTGGAAACTGACGTTGGCCACAAATAACGGTCGAGCGTGGTTGGAAAGAACTTGCCGCGTTTTGTTGGGACCCCACCGCCACCCTTGACTCTCGGCATTGGAAACGGATGGACATGCCCGAATAGGAAATCCCCCTGAGGTATTTCCCAAAAAAGCAAGTCGGGACGAGGCTGTGGTCCACGGCCTTCTATCGGCCTGCACTAGGACATGTCCATGTGTGGCCGTGCACGACCCGGTGTGGCGGGTGTTGTACAAGTACCGTGCAACATACAACGGCCTCACGGGGTCCGCTCAGGCGGCGGGGCGCGTCTGTGCACGGAAATTACCGTTGGGAGCATCGACGGATGTCCCCCCGTCCCACACTCCTGCCATCAGTACCACTTTTCCCACTTTACGGACCATCCAGAGTGGGAGTGCAGGTACGGAGCAGTGACGGGAATCCATAACCGTCGACGAAGGAGGAGGGTTTGGCGAGGAGTACGGGTCCGCGAAGGTTCTGCGCTCGTCAAGTGGCCACAACAACTGGTGTGCAAGGGTCGACGCTATCCCCATCACAGTCACAACGTTGCCATGTATCCATCGGATGTGGGCAGTTCAGATGACGAGTGGGAAAACATGATGTTCATGCTCGTTCTCCTCATGACCCAGTGGGTGAACAAGCGTAACGCTGCAGCCATGGTCGTGCTGAAAGTTGTCACCATCAACCCGTTCATGTTCCGGGATGTGTCGGGGGCGCTTACGATGCTTGCAGGGAGAATGGTTCACGGCATGACGTTGAGCTGCTTGGCGGAGCAAGAGTTGGGAAAACACATGAAACGGAGAAGGCGATTGTGGATGGTGGAGCGTAGCGGAGGTTTGTGGAAAAACCTTCAAAGGGTGGGTGTGGGGCACGATAAGGTGTTCTTGCGGTTCTACAGATTACCGCGACCACTGTTTTTGCAAGTTCTTCAGCGCATCGGCCCCCGTATCTAGTGTTCGCCTACTAATTTCCGGTTGTCCATCCAGTGGGCAACGGGCGAGTACTACCGGTAATCCGCCCGAGTACGGCCACCTCCTCCAATTCCCTACAAGACGCCGTTTGAAAGAAGTGCATAATTCTTTCGAGGTGAAGTGGTTCCCCGGATGTGTGGGGGCCATCGACTGTCTACACATGTATATCGATAAGTCGAAGGGGACACGGTCAGAGTGCTACTATCATCACACTGGAGACTTCTCGGTCGTCGCGCAGGTCGTGTGTGACAACGAGTGCAGAGTTGTCAGTGTGTATGTCGGTTGCCCAGGGTCGGTGCACGACTCGTGTGTATTGAGGATGTCGCCATTGTACCACAACACCATGGCAGACAGAGGTGTGTTGTGCGAGGGTGGAGCTATCATGCATAATAGAAGACACGTTGGTCATTACCTGCTTGGCGACGCTGGCTACCCTCTTCTCCCGTCGATCATGACAACTATGGGTAGATTCACGAGAACTTCTGCAGATCGGACATACGACGAGTGTTATGCATCGACGAGATCTTGTATAGAGAGGACATTCGGACGATTAAAGAACGTATGACGGAATTCCATCCGCACTCAAATTATGAACGTGGAAACCCTGCGCAATAAATTCATGGTTGTGTGCATACTACACAACCTCATGATTGAGCATAGAGATCGACCCAACCTTGTTGAACCACACCGACAACAGTGATGGGGAGGGTCCACAACGCAAACCCCATCCCCGCTGGCGCCGCCGCCGGCGAGTGCCACATCATATTCTTGATCTCAACATCAAAGTCATGTCGAAGATTAATCCCAGTTATGGCTCCCACCTTGGAACGAGGGTCAGAGCTGGCTTGATTGATCATATGGCCCATCATGTCGATCTTCATGGTGCACTGGCGCCATGTCCGTGGTGATAGTACAATCATCGATGTATAGTCGTGGAAATGTTGGAGCGGGCCGTCGTTCAGGTGTGTGTGTGTGTGTGTGTGTGTGTGTGTGTGTGTGTGTGTGTGTGTGTGTGTGTGTGTG